GGGAGGGATAGAAAGGAGGGAAGGAAGAGGGAGGGAGGGAGGGATAGAAAGGAAGGAAGGAAGGAAGGAAGGAAGGAAGAGGGAGGGAGGGATAGAAAGGAAGGAAGAGGGAGAGAGGGATAGAAAGGAGGGAAGGAAGGAAGAGGGAGGGAGGGATAGAAAGGAGGGAAGGAAGAGGGAGGGAGGGGAAGGAAGGAAGGAAGGAAGGAAGGAAGGAGGGAAGAGGGCTATGAAAAATTAAGGATAATTAAGGGCTTATAAAAAAACCTTACCTTTAATCTCGTCTATCATGAGTTTATCGCAGATTTGCCTTTCGTAAGTTTCTATATGGTCCAATGATTCTTGAAAGAAATCTGCTTCTCTCATCACTTGATTCTGGTACAATATTAATTCACTATATTCGTAGTCGATTTTGTTAGGGGGGACCTGAAAAATAACCCAAGAGATTTATAAATTGGTTGGGAAGCTTTAGTACATCAAAAAGGGTTTTTTTTGTTTTTGTTTTGCAAATGAATAAAAAGACCAGAAAACATTAAGATCAGGAAAAATCTGCACTTGAAATAGTTCAGAGTGGAAACTCATCAGTTGTAGCATATTTTTTTTTAAAATCCACTGGACTTGGTCGCTTTTGATATGGATAAATTATGCACCAGAAAAAGTTGTTTCAACTGACAATGTCCCAAAGATGCTTTTTCAAGAGGCAACTGGACTTTCTTGTTTTTTAGGTAACAGATTATCAGAGTTGGGACCTTGTAGGTCATCTGGTTCACCCCCACCCCTACCCTTCAAACAATGGGGACTATTTCCATATTATTTTAAAGTTTTCCTTACAAAAAGGATCAATATATTTTAAACACAAGCCATTTATATTTTGACATTACCACCAAGTTTTGTGAGTTTTGAGTTTCACCTAAAATTCATATAAAGAACAAATGGCCCATTCCCCAAAGAAGAATAAATAATATAAATCCTTCCATTCCCCACTATCCAGTCAGAGCTGAAGAAGCTTCTTGGATGAGAAGCAAAACGTCTTCAAAGAAAAAGAAAAACCAAGAAAGTCCAGTTGCCTCCTATAAAATGTACCTTTGGGACAACCGTGACCTGGATGATGGAGAATCTCTACAGACTTTCAACTGACCATGGTTAAGCCAGCATTATAATCAAAGCTGGGATTCTACCTGTTCAGACCGGTTCTATAGAACCAGTTGTTACGATTCTGTACAGTTTGGAGAACCGGCAAATTGTGGCCCTGGTTGGCCCCGCCTCTCTTTGCCCACCCCTCCCCTCCCTGCCCAGTCAGTCCTTATCGCGCATGCCCAACATCCCGCATCCCTGACATGCTGACGGCATTCTCCCGGGCCCAGTCACTCCTTAAGGTTTTCCCCCTCCCAACAATCAGCTGTTTCTTTCCCAACATCAGCTGTTTCTTTCTCAACGGTCAGCTGTTTCTTTCCCAACAATCAGCTGTTTGAAGCACCTCCCTGCGCTCCGTTTTTTCTATTCCTGGGCTCCAGGGAAGCCTTCTGGGAGCAAAATCACCCCCCAGGCGGCTTCCCTGAGGCCCAAAAACGGGGAGGGGGGGTGCTGCAAAGAAAAAAAAGCCACGCCCACCCAGTCACATCGCCATACCCACAGAACCGGTTGTTAAAAAGTTTGAATTCCACCCCTGATTATAATATATTTCTGCTCATATTAACCTAGATTCTAAACTGTGGTTGAGACAAACTTTTGACTTGTCCCTTTGAAAAAACTCTCTAGCTATCTGAAAACTTACTAAAAGACAGGGTAAAAAGTCAAAGTAACAGAATAATGGGATAGAGTTGAAAAGGATCTTTGGAGGTCTTTAGGTCCAACCCATTATTGAAGCAAGAAACCCTACACCATTCCACAATGTCTGGAGGCAAATGGTTGCACGGATTAATTGTTCTCGCTGTCAGGAAATATCTCTTTAGTTCTAGGTTGCTTCTCTCCTGGATTAGTTTCCATCCATTGATTCTTGTACTACCTTTAGATGTTTTGGAGAATAGATTGACCACCTCTTCCTTGGAGTAGCTCCCCAAATATTGGAAGACTGCTATCATGTCACCCCTAGTCCTTCCTCTCACTAGACTAGGCATACTCAATTCCTGCAACCATTCCTCATATGTTTCAGCCCCTAATCATTGCTTCTTGTCCTGCCTTCAGGTGCTTTGGAGAATAGCTTGACCCCCTCTTCTCTGTGGCAGCCCCTCAAATACTAGAAGACTATTATCCTGTCTCTCCTGGACCTTCTTTTCATTAGACTAGATCCACCCAATTCCAGTTCTTCATAGGTTTTAGCCTCCAGTTCCCTAATCATCTTTGTTGCTCTTCTCCGCACTTTTTCTAGTTTCTAGAATCCCTTCAAAATTAATGAACATGTAATTAACTCCAAATGAAGATTCACTGAATTCGGGGAGGGGGAAATATACAAGAAATATGCACTGTAAATTATACAACATAAGGAATCCATTCCAAGTAAATTCATTAGTGTGCTCTGTATCAAGGTAACAATTCGCTTTCAGAGAACAAAATCATTTTATGCGGAAAAAAAATCTGGTTTTGTTTTTGTTTTAATATGATGTACGGTCAATTTCTACTAGCTGAAGCAAAAATTAATTATTAATTAAAGCAATGTTTCAGTTTAAAAGCTGAACTTCATATTTATATAAATATTCATATTAAATTTATAATATTTAGGTAGGTATTCTTATATTGCATAGATAAAAATGTATACCTTATCTCCTCTTATAGCTACAGAGTATAGAGCACAGCACATAGACTATAATTATATAGATTTATCTCTGATCTTTTTTAGATATATTAATGTACTTAGTGTTAATATGATATTGTTTTTCTTCTTTGAACCATCGACCTATATAAATGAATTACTTTTTTATTAATATTATTAAGGCACTGTGAATTAATATAACTAATACTATGAACAACTGTCAAGGATTAATTGTATGTACTGTACTTATTGTACTGTCAAGAAAATGATGTTGAAAGGTATTGACACATCTGTTATAAGGAATGCTTTAATATTTTGAATTTTTGTAAACTTTTTAATATTTTGAATTTCAATAAAGAATTTTTTAAATTAAAATAAAATAAAATAAAGACTTCTTTCAAATAAAAAAAAAAGCTGCATTTCATTTCCCTTCAGGCTTTGGAGATGTCATTTTTAAATATAATAGAAGAGGGAGGCATTTTCATGGAGAAATTCAGCTGCTCAAATTTTTATCACAGATATTAGGATGGGACCTCCTTCGGAATAAAATCTTACCTGTTGGGTTTTCCTAAATTCTTCTAATAATTTCAAGGCCATGTCGTAATCTTTTAGCAAATGATACGCGATTGCATAGCCAATCCAGGATGCTCTTTGAGTGGGCCGGAGCTGAAGTAATTGGTATCTGGTTTCCTTTAAAGGAACAACAAACACAAGTAAAAACGGTATTCCGAATACTGTGCATTCTTAATAAAAGGTTTAAAATCGACGATACGAAGGATCAAAACCCTCAGGAATGCAAAACCACTAGAAAATCCAAAGAAGTAAACTTGGAGTTTTAAATGATTAGTTTTAACAATCTTCATTTAAAATTTGGTGTATAGATAGGGGTTAAAATGGATGCTAATTCATCCCTTTTGGCAGAAATAACAGAGTTGGAAGGGACCTTGGAGGTCTTCTAGTCCAACCCCCTGCCTAGAAAGGAAACCCTACACCACTTCAGACTAATGATTATCCAATCTCTTCTTCAAAGCCTCGAGTGATGGAGCATTCACAACTTCTGGAGGCAAACTGTTCCACTGGTTAATTTGTTCTCACTGTTAGGAATTTTTTTCCTTAGTACTAGGTTGCTTCTCTCCTTTATGAGTTTCCACCCATTGCTTCTTGTCCTGCCATTTTGGAAAATAGCTTGACTCCCTCTTCTTTGGGGCAGCCCCTCAATATTGAAATACTGCCATCATGTCTCCCCCTAGTCCTTTTCATCCATCCATCCACTCATCCATCCATCCATCCATCCATCCATCGTCAGGTTGACTCTATTTAGCTATTTATAGAGCAGACGGAAAAGTCAACTAGAATGTTAAAAGAAAAGAAGGGTTTTAAGGAAATGGAGCAAGGAGAAAACCAGGTTACTCATTGTCAAACTAGACAATTAACAAGGGGACTAGCATTACCAGTAACAGAGAAAATTAGCTAAATTTATTAGAATAGAATAGAATAGAATAGAATAGAATAAGGAACAGAATAGAACAGAACAGAACATAATAGAATTGATTAGAACAGAATAGAATAGAAATAGAACAGAATAGAATAGAAATAGAACAGAATAGAATAGAAATAGAATTGAATTGATTAGAATAGAATAGAATAGAATAGAATAGAATAGAATAGAATAGAATAGAATAGAATAGAATAGAATAGGAATAGAACAGAATAGAATAAGGAACAGAATAGAACAGAACAGAACATAATAGAATTGATTAGAACAGAATAGAATAGAATAGAAATAGAACAGAATAGAATAGAAATAGAACAGAATAGAATAGAAATA